AACTTTCCTAACCAACATAATCTCCAACCTGCTCTGCAACAAGTCGAATAGCAGCGCAGCAGGCATTTTCTAAAAAGAAAGATCAGATTCTATTTATTCTTCCCTCCCATCAATAAATGCAGACAGATTTTTATTATCGTCACAGTCTCCTGACACCTGAAGCATCTTTCCTGGGAGTGACACTTCCTAGCCATCACCAACAGGCATAAGAGGCTGGTTGTATTTATTTCAACCTCAGCTGTTGCAACCAATCTCATCCACCTTCTGCCCCTTGTTCCTGCTTTTCTGCCACCTCTGACTTCCTCCTATCCACCTTTAAAAGTGCTCAGCTTTCCATCTCCATATGCAAGGCGAGATGAAAAGAAAGGATCTTCTCTTATCATTGAGATGAGCATCTCTAGCTCACATGCTCTACAACAGGGCTGAACTGGACAGGCTCATCACGGACCTGCTCTTCTCTTTCCCCAAGGATGGAGCAGAACTGGCCATGTCTTCTTTCACAGTCGATGGAGCTGGCAAAAAGTCTTGGCTGAAAATGTTGTTACAGGTAGGAAGACCACACAGGTCACCAGGCCAGTCCTGCGTGCCTTGTTTTCTGTGTCACACAGAGAACCACCCTGCTGATCCTGGAGGAGCACTCACGTTCTGGGCATGCTCACCATTTCCACTGGTAAGCCTTTAAACTAAAAATAAATTAATCGATTTTGAACACAGTGTCAGTGCAGATAGCTGCCTTTACCCTAACTGAGCACTAGGTAGCACTGTCACTCTAAGAAAGCAAACCGAAGCACATCAACATGGCAATTGTTTTGCCCTTCCGAGACCAGAAAAGAAAGGACTGCGTTATCAGAGTAAAACACGTATTTTAAAACTCCTCAAGATACACCTACAAACGCTGCATTCTCATCACCTCTGATATACAACAGTGGAGTTTTTCAAGATTTTCTTTCTCTTTTTTTTTTTTTTTAACATCAGAATTCATGACCTTAAATCTTCACAAAGCAATACTGAGATTTTGCACTGATGTTATATGTTTGCAACCATTTGATGTAAGAAAATAAGATTAAAGATGATGATGGAACACCTCCACAGAACAATCACTCAGCAGTCAAGTTATCTGGAGATCTAGCAAACGATCCCCTCTACCTACCACCACCTAAAAAAAAATTAGTAACTAGCTGAACACAAGCCTCTTTCGACAGTATAAACACTAATCCTGGATTGAAGAGCACCAAAAAAATGCACTGGATTTTTCGTGACCTCTGCAACTTGTTAGCAATCTACTTTAGCAAGTGGTTCTGGATGGATGTGTACTGAATGTCACTGCTCCAAGCACAGTCTCCAGGAGGCTCTGTTTTGGTGGTGTGCTCAGAAACCTTCTGTACTTTCCAACACTTTGGAATGCGTGATTTTATTTATAGTATGTATTTATTTTAGATTCAGCCCTCAGATTCTACTGCAGGTACATTATTTGTATCTGAAAGCTTATCCTCTCCAGAAAGAGTCTGACAGCAAACCGTATGTTGAAAGGAAGTACTTTTCCTGCTAATTTAATCATGTTTGACTTGTAAAATGCAGCTATGACTAAGGGGCTGTTCCTGGAGCCCCAAAGATTTTCTTCTATTCAGTATCTTGAGAATCTTAATGGTATTTTTTTTCTCCTATGTTAATAACAGAGCAGCTTTAATGAAGCAAGGATGAGAATTAGAGAGTCTTCAGTGATTAGGCAATAGAGGGTATTTCAAAGCTCATATACAGGAAAAGAGAATTTTCTCCATTTCTAGGGTATGGAAGAGAAAAAAAATACTGAATTTCTAACTTCAACTGCAAAAGCCTCCTTCATCTTCTCTTATGCATGCCCAGCTATTCCCAAACCCTGACTCACAGAACCGTCATCTCAATGCAAACTGATGGCAAAGCTAGGGGCATTGAACATCATAAACTGAGGGAAGTTTTCAGCTTCCCTTCCCAAGGTTTGTGCAAGGTACTTGCACCTCAATAACGATATTGACATGAAAAAGCTAAAAATAGAAGTCCAACGCTTTTGTATCCAGAAAAACAAAGTAACCTCTTCCTCCCCATTCACCCCATTGATAAATTATAGACTGTTTCCATAAAAACGTTAAAACTTCGTTATGCCAGTGAAGATCCTCTTCCTGAGAAAACACATGCAGGATATGCACACTGCAACAAAATCAGGAGCCAAACTATTTTTTTGAAAATAAGAGCTGGTGCGGGATCAATTGCTCTACAGATGCACCAGTATGGAAGGTGCAGATTAAGCAGAGTTCCTGTACCAGGTGGGACAAGCGCTCATAATCTATTCGTGTTGTCAAAGAGCAGAGAGGTCACTGGGAAGTATCTCTTCCCGTTCTCTGGGAGCGATGCCTCAGTGCGGCCATTCCCATGTTCATGTCTTGACTGCATCAGAAACTGACACACAAGAGGCAATATTCAGATTTATCAGCTGCGTTTGCATGTCACTTTGAAGCAAGCAGCTTGCTTACCGTAAGAGGCATATGTCCTACAGTTTGGGAATCTTTACCCTTAACCAGGGATTTGGGTCTTAGATAATCAGCACGTGTCATTTCAAGACACCACCCAGGCAGGAGAACTCCTTAAGTTCTGATTCAGATTTGAAATTTCTTTTACAATTGCAAAAATAAGCACGAGTGACACACGCATCCTCCCCCCAGATAAATAAAACTCAAGAAACCGATATCTCAGAGTTCAGTTCATTAAGGAAAGTTTTGCTGAATATAGTCAACAGCTAAAGACTGGATATTCTCCACCTTAAAGATGGAGTCAGCTACAACTGACTCACCTTTCCCTCGTCTCTCTGTCTCTTGAACTCCATCTGAACCAGCTAAAAACCTGGGCACATTGCTTAATTTCCACAAAAGCAGCTACAATTTCTCACCTTGCTGTTTTCTTACAATAGCCATCTCCCTGAATCCCTCCTATTTCAGTTCATCAAGCTGCCACACTTCATCTTAGAAGATGAGAGCTCTGCACTACCCCACATCTCTGTTCCGGTCATGGCCATGACCTCCTGTCCTCATATTCTTCCTGTGAAAGGATCACTTCTCCCCTGTATAACTCACTATCCAAACTTGTGAAACATCATTCAGTCTCAAACAAGCCAGGACATTTCTAGCCTTCTACAAGTCAGACTTGAAATTCAAGTGCAGAACTAGCGCAAAAGCCTTCTGCATCGTTAGCTAAATTCAAGCATCTCTTTCAAGTACTACTTCTTGATCTCTGATAACGTGAAAATAGATGATGATTTAGAAACCAAAATTTCCAAAGGTACAGCTGATGCTGCTGCAAGAATGCAAGTTCTATAGGGCACAGGGATGCACCAAATCACACTGGAAAATTAGTTATCCATTTTTTCCTATAAGCACACCCTTCTAAATTGGTCTGTGACACTGAATTGAGAGACCAGAGTTTGGAGTCTGCTACGAAACAGCAAGCACTGAATAAATTTTTTAGCACATTCTCAATAACTTCTCTCAATTGTGAAGACTTCCTAGCAGGGTTTCTATTAATCTCCTTCTAATATTCTCATGCAAGATTTAGCAAGTAAACACTGAATAAATGTGCTTTGGAACTGTATGAATAATTTCCGAGAGTACTACAGAACATGAAGGGACAAAGTATTTTGCGAGAGTATTTTTGCTTTCACAAACAAATTAAACCTCTCTGAATTGACGACCTAAATAATTCAGCATTATTCCATTTACTAAATTGGGAAGAAGCGAGGCAGAGCGTACATCTTTAGGAGAGCAGTGTGTTTTGCAACAGAGAGATGATCCCACTTATAAAGAAGTCTCACAGAACAGCTCCAATTCATGCATTGCATTTGTCTGAAAATGTTGATCCTGCCAAAAGGGGCACTCAAAACTGAAAAAAAGAAAGGAAAAAAAATTCTTCTCGTCTGTATGTTTCATTATTCATTGACTGATATTTTCAAACGTACTAACAATAAGTCAGACAGGGCCTCCTAAGCCCTTCAGTGCTTTGAAAAACCTCCTGTTTTCCTAAAGTCAGTTTAACTGATGTATCAGTTCCAGGAGGCAGTTTATGAACAGAAGCTTCACAGTGTGTGTGTGTGTTATAACCTTGCTCACAGGCCCCTCCTAAAGAGAACCTTCTAAAAAAATAAAGGATAAAGAAAATCCTTCAAAGGAGACAGTGTTTTCATCTGAAAAAGTAGACGGTGCTACATGGTACAAAATCTCCACTGGGTAGTGGTCATTAAGTGCTCTTACTCCCAGACTGCAATGACAAGGATTGGCAAACATTAATGCAAGTCAACCATAAAAGCAAGTACAGCAACCAAAAATATATTCACTTTGATGTGATCATTTAGCTTTAACAACCTCACAGAATGGATGTGCTGGTATTGTCTAAGAAAATAACAGATAGTACAAGAACTCCAAAATGAAGGAGACTCTTTTGCA